AGTCTGAACAGCATCTTCCGCACCTTGGCAATTCGCAGGTGTGGGCTCTGCAATGGTTTTCATCTTCAAGCCGTACACGCCTAAGCCCTAATGTGGCGTCAGCCGCAAAGGATTCTGAAAACAGAATGGGGTTTCGAGCCTCTTGTCAGGAAGCCGTCGTCTGAAAGAAGGGAGCAAACCATGCGTGTCTTCATCCATGAAAGTGACATACTGAATATTTTTTTAGACGTCCCTTTTCCGTTCCTCATGGTCCAGAAAGCGGTCTCCCGCTGGGAGTTTGCCCTGCCACACATCTGTGCTCGTGGAACAGGTCTCAGAAAGGCCACTGACTTGCAATCCCCATACTTATTAATGTATAAGCTCAGGAAATATAATGCAAATAGATGACATTTACTCCATCATTTCGAAGGCACAGGCCGTGCATGAAGCTCGCAAGGCTGAAGGAAGGATCAGACCCCGACCAAGCAAGAGGCTACTCGATGGCTTTTTTCATCAGAACACCATCGTCAATTAGGAGGCAGGCCTCCCACAAGCATACCCCAAAGCGAATCTGAAGCTGGTTCGAAAGGATCGATCATAGTTCTGGGCTTTCCAAGCCTATGCCAAAGCATGCCGGTTGCCGTCCAAGCACCATTCTCTCCACTTCAGCAGCTGAGTGGTCTGTGTTGAAGGCGCTTCGAAGGTAGGACACGTGGGCCGGCCTCGGTCACTTGGCTTGGCTGTGTCGGAAGTGCACGGGCCCCATGACCCTGTTCAAGTCTACGCTTTCCAGCTTAGCGCGCGCAGGTTCGAATGATATGGGTGAAGGCTTTATGTGCAAATTAGGCTGGGCGGTCCATGAGCATGAAATATGCCACCAGCGTCTCATCTATCTAGGCGACTGGTTCGAGGCAAGTGGCGTTGGCGACTCCTTGGTCATAACTGCGAGATAGGACCAGCCTCCAAAAGATTTTTTTTAGCTTGGGGTGGCTGTGTCCATGCTGACAGCTATGACGATGCTTGCCAAGCCTGAATCATGCCCATTTTGAGATCATGCTCCTCGCCTGAACATTGCTACCCTGTTTGCGAAACCCTCGCGAACACCTTTCGGTACAGCGGCCCCTCACATCCGGACATCCCTTAAACCCTAAACCCTAAGAGAGGCCCCTGGCCGCGACAAGTCTGTGCTTCTCTCGCACTCCGGAACTCAGGGCCCACGGGACGAGCCTACCCCCACCGCAGCGAAGCAGAGCAAGATCAACCCGCCAAAGAACATCACCTGGGTGTTAGTGTCTCGATATATTACATTACTACGTTTGTTATTGTTGTTCTTCTTAGGGATTACCATATTATGACAGTTCCGGCAGTTTTCTCACCAACTCATGGCTGCGATTGGGAAGCTGGCTTCAATCCGACTAGAGCTCACTAGACTAGGCCTGGGCAAATAGTGCGATGAAATCCCGATGATCCAATGCCACAAACCTCCAAGCAAAGCAAAACCGTCTTCGGGATTTGGATTTTTTGCTTGTGGCGGGCAGCGAAGAACGGCACTCCGACGGCTGCATTTAGCACTACTGCTTGTCCTCGCATGTCTTATGTTTTCTATCCCTCGCACCGCAGCTAAAGCCGAAGGCTCGATGACCGAGGTCTGAAACAGGTGCAAGGGGCGCCGGTGGTCGCAGTGAAGGTTTGGGGTAAGTCAGGCATGACCAGCTGCCTGAGTGCAGCTTGCCATCAAAACAAGAGCATTTGGGCACAGACTCGCTGCAGGTACTTGTGCTGCCAATGTTGCGATTTCTCTCCTGTCTCTTCCACTTCCACGTCTGGGACAACCACCACAAACCTGTAGGGTGTGGTTTTCATGGCTGCCGACGGCGAAGGGCATCGGCCAAACGTTGATGGAAGCACGACGGACAAGATCCCTACATTGCCCTACATTCCTAAATCCACTGAATGGCATCTGAACTTGGTGGGTGGCACACGAACCAAAAACACCGTGGTGGCAAACACAAGTTCCCGTAGTTAATGCCGAGCCAAAGAAACTTTCCGAGGCTTGCGGCGAAACCGGGTAGGAAGCAGTTGCTGCCTCAGAAAGAAGGCATAGTACACCCTCTATGATGTGGATGCATTCCATGCTCAAGTGCTGTTGCATTAGGTTAGGGTACGGTGGCTTAGACTGGTGCCGTCTTCAGGTCGACAACGGGCCTTGTTCCTTGCGCAGTTCACCTCTTCTTTAAACTTTCTAGTCTCCCGTTCTTCTAATTGTGGCATGGCCGTCGCAGAACATTGAACATTTCCTTGTTCCCTCGAATAGGATCATGAACAGCTAGCAACTGACAACTACAGCTGGCGATTCGATTTCGAGGTGTCGATGCGATAGCTAAACGGTTCGGTTCCCGTCTTCCGCTTCCTTCTCCTGATGGGTATCGTAACCCCACATTTTGATCCCATTTAGGGTACTTTTAGCTCTACTCTTACGGCTGGTGATGTAAATCCTGCATTACCTTATATAATAACCCTACGCCATGGGAATTGTTGTACACTCCTTATTAGCGTTATTATGGGTAATGTAGGATTTTTTATTAAAAGTCTTATGATTATTATGACTATTATTATTTTTATTATTGTTAATTATCAATGTTATTTTTTATTAGATCTTCAACCGTATCACCGACTCACAGGGTATCTCTTCGGCTTGCCCCTGCAATATCTGCTCTCGGAGCTTCTCGGCACACGACTCTTCCAAGCGATCCGCGTCCGGCGAGGATTTCAACAATAGTAGCAATATTATTTACAAGAATAATATGGTGATTCAACCTTTTTTACCATAATAATATGGTGATTCAATATTTTTCACCAAAATAATATGGTGATTCAATACTTTTTTACAATAACAATAATATGGTGATTCAATATTTTGAGAAGGGCCCGGCTTCTTGAAAACAAGTGCTGTGTTTGTGCCAGCCTGCACAGCCCTTCCTGGCAGCTTCCCCAGCCGTTGAAGCAGCTTTTGTTGGAGCTCTCTTCCCCGTGATGAATCAATGAGTGCTGCGAAATGACAGTGACTTGGCACACTAGACTAGTTCAAGCGAGAAGAGCGCTGGAAGTGAGAACAAAAGAAGCCCGCACATGTGTAGGTCGAAAGCCGGAGCCTGTCCAGAAGTCTCCAAACAAAACCTGAATTCGATTCCAAAGCCCTGCTTCAGCTTCCCAGCATGCCCCCGGACCTGCATGTGCCACGCTCTATTCGAAATCGCAACCCAGATTCCAGCCACCAGGGCCAGGTATGGGTATCGCATGCCAGCGCTGAGCATCCTGAAGCTTCTTCTCGATTCGCAGTGCTTCTTTGAGATGGGAGCTGTCGCTACTCTTATCAACTCCTGACAGCCGAAGGTCTTAAGATCAACAGACACTTCGTTGTCAGATCGAGGGAAGTCCCCATCAACCGCGGATCGCGAGCTCCAGTGCGAGGACTGAAACACTTATCAGCCATAAAAACCCGAAGCACCGCAGGACGACGTCCACCCACTTCGAGCCCTAACCGCCGCCTGAACCCAATACCTTGTAAGACCGTCCTAAGCCCCCAAAAGTCCTAAGCCCATGTCAGTCCAGGGCTCACCAGTGTGGGTAGGGCCGTGGATAGGACTTGCGCGACGCCCATCGAGGAGGCCCGGCCAGCAGAGCTCAAAATACACTCGAAGGAGGTCAGGCCCAAATCCGCCTCAAGACATCGGTTTGTTGGCTCGGAGAAAAGCCTTAAGGATGCCAAGTAGTAGTGATCCTAATAACGACCATGTTAGTCCATTGTTGTCAAAGCTATCGCTACTAGTGCACAGGGCTTTGCACGCGCTGCCACGCAAGCTTGCAGCCGGACCGCGCCACGAGTCGTTACGGTGGATATGACGGTGTAGATGCTGACATTGACTACTAAGCTGGATCCTTGCTTTAACCAAGCGATGTGCTTTAAAACCCTGATAATTACTGTAGTACTGTAGCATGGCAACATCAGGTTACGAAGAGGTGTCGAAAGCTCCAGCCCCGGTACCTGGGACATGGCCAAGACCTGCCGGGCCATCTCGAGCATGCGGCCCAGAGTCCTCACAAGAGAACCGATCAGCTCAACGTATCTAACACAGCGTGGAAGAAGCTCGATGTACAAGGCCTCTGGAAGTGACTCGAAGCTACAGTAGCAGCCATGTTCATTTCAAGCAGCACTGGAGACGACCATGGCTACTGTCCTCAAATCCATGGAGCGGCCACTTCCTTCTGTGTTGCTACAAGCACAGCAAGGCGAACGTCAGCGGCCCGACAAGTTCGGACATGTCGGGGCTTTCGGGCCACACCCAACCTAAACTATGATGGTAGGCTATAGGCTTTGCAAAGGCACTCGTCTGCTCGGGCCGCCGTCGTGTCTGCAGCAGCTCCCACTGCGACGAGACCCGCGGCGCTGAAAGCCTCGAGTCACGAGTCTAGGCCGGGTCCATAGTAACTAGCACGAAGGCATGCGCGATTCTTCATCTGAAGGAGGAAGCGCCAAAGCTATGAAGAAGTGGGCTTCCGACTCGACAGAGTAAGTATTTTCAATGTGAAGCTTTCAGCGTCACTCCAAACTCATGTCGTCGATGCTTTAATAAGGATCTTGCTATTTTGGGTCGAATCTCTTCGGGTCTCATCTTCTGAAGCTCTCCTACAGAGGCACTGACACCCAGACATCCAAAAGTGGTCAAACGACACCTGTACGCTATCTGAGGGCTCTGCCATGAGCTGGTTCAGGAGGATACTGCTCGTGGTCGTCTCCTCGTCCTTCTGAGTAAAGCCTTCCGGCAAGTCACAAGGGACAGGCATCTCAATGTGATGTGTGTGTGTGTAGCTTCCAGCTTGTGAGCCGCCGCGTTCAGTCAGGCAGAACATCTGTGCTAGCTGTGCTGAATGAGATGCTCCATCACCGATTGAAAAAGGAACAAGCATGCAGGAGATGCGGATCTTGGTCAGGTGTCCTAGGAGACGCATAGGGATTCCGTGCTACGTGCTGACGTACTGCTTCAAATTTCATGGCAAAACTTAACACCGCGAACGGACATACCACTACCAACGGAAAGTTCTATAGCAGCAGTGGCAGCATCCAAAAACCACACTGCCACCACACAAGGTAGTAAGCCGCATCGCGAGTCGGAACTGGCACATTGTGACATGCTGGCAAGCCTTAAGTCCTTAATCCTTTAACTGTCGGCAACTGGCCCAAGCTGTGGCAGCAACACCCTTCCCGCTGAGATCCTCCCAAGAGAGCGATCGCGAAGATTCCCAGCATCTTGGCTGTGAGATAAGCCATCTCCATGGGCAGGGAATCCCGACCTGAGGAACTGCTGCTGTTGCTGGAAACGCACTGCAGCTAAAGCGGCTTTAACAAATAAGGTTGGGCCTTCCATGCTGACGGGACTTGAAATAAGCCAAGCCACCGACTCCACACTTCGTGCAAGAAAGGCTTCGTCCATCAGCAGCAGCATGGGTCGCGCCATCACAGTGCAGGCACCCGCCCCCAGCATAGCCTTCCTGGTCGCGCAATGCGCCCACAATGCATGTGAGCTACAGCCCTGCAGCTTTTGCTCTCGGCTACAGCCATGGTGGCTTCACGTGTTTTGGTACCACAGGGACAAGGACACCAGGAACGAAACGAAACGCGAGAAACATTGTCAGAAAAGGAGGCCAGGTAGCTCGCATGTTTTACTGGAGTGCTGACTAACTTTTGCAGGTCTGGAAAATTCGTTGGCGAGTGTTGCAAAGGTCATGCCATAGACCTACTGGGGCAAGCAGTTCCAGCATCGGGCTGGAAACAATTTTTCTCCAACTTCGGCAAATCATGCGCTTCCCGGTGGGAAAGGACTTCCCGTATGATTTTGAAGAAACTTAGCAAATTATTTTGGACTTTGTCCAGCTTGAGGTCATCTGCAAGTCCCCCTTCGCCCTCCCCGCTCAATTTCCCAACCGTTTGCGTTGCACAGCACCACCACCAAATGTGGGTCTGTTCCTCGTCTGGGCTCTCCGTCAGTTTCGGGCATGATTCACAAGGTCCAGCGGGTACCCTGTATGCGCTTGTGGGCGACTTCCGCCACACTTCAAAATCTCGACCTCAGTTATTGGTTTTGCAAATGAATAGTCAATTTCTGCAAACATCGTTTGCCCGTTTGCGGTGCAATCGCATTGCACCTTCCTGTCAGTATCGGAGGACCGACCGGCACGGAACGCCAACACTTCGAGCTTCGAGGTCCGCCGTGCCTCTGGGAAACGGGTCGAAGGTAGACACAACTAAGTACAACCCGGAAGACGACCCTGCACCTGTATGAGGCACACCATATACCCTTCCCCGACCTTGAACCCTATGTCGGGGTCTTCAGCACTACTGCGATCTAGCCAGACTCTTTTTCTGAACCAGGGCTCTACAGCTTTGCCTGTCAGGATGCAAGGCACACAGAGACAACCGTCAGATGTGGACAACGAGCTGCGAAAATCGCATGAAATTCCATGCAGATGTCGTGATCTGCATCCTAGCCAGGTCCTGAGTCTCCAAAACTTCAAGCCCCTCCAGCGAAAAAAATCTCCAAACCTGCGATAGCGCCTTAGGAGCGAGACTTCAAAACCAGCGGGAGAGGACAGGTGCGGCTGCAGAAGAGCTCCATTAAAATAATGGGACCCGATGGACCGGAGCCACTCGTTTCTGGCATCACTCGCAGCCATGACTCCGCACACATGGAAAAGCGCTCGTCCGGCAAAGATCTTCCAGGGCAGGCTTTCCTCGCAACAAAGCAGAGATGTCCATTTATGAGTACATGAACACAGACTCACGTGTATGTATCTATATATGTGTGTGTGTATGTATGTACGCATGTATGCATGTATACATATGTGTATATATATACACAGATTTACAGCTGTGTGTGTATATATATATATATATAGATAAGTAAACAACCGCATACTCAGTTTGACGATGCATGTATAAACGTTGTCGAACTGTATGTGGACGTATGTACACATGCAGGCATGTACGCATGTGAATGTATATAAGTATGTGAGCATGTATACAACGTATGTACTGCGACTGCATAAAGGCTTGGAGCTGGAACATGTAGTTTTAGCTACCCGGTAGCTGTCTCGGATGTTGACTCTTCGACCCAGCTTGCAGTGGGGTGTTTAAGTGAGTCTTGAGGTGCACCCTCCTTTGAGGACCAAGTCTCGGTGCAGCGCAGCGCCGTGGTGGGCTCAGGTCATTGATGCTCGAGCCTATGGTGACCATGTACCCAGGCCGCATCTTGACCTGGTGCGCAGCTTTGCGAGTCCGAAGGAAGCCACAAACATGTCCACAAAGGACATGTTCAGGTAAACGGAACCCACCTAACCACATTGTTCCTCCTAAGTCGTAGCTTGTGCATGTAGATAACTCCATGAAAATCAACAAGTTCTGATCTGCGGAGAAGACCCGGGCAGGCTCGCAGATCTCAGCGCTGGCTGGGCACGGACGGCAGGCCTCTTTCAGGATTAGGGGTACCTTATTCTGGGATCCATATAATAAGGATCCTACTATTTAGGGTACTGCATTAAGGTCCGACATCTCGACAAGAAAGACTATCGCGACTACGGTCGGTTTAGGTTTTTTTGGCCGCCTCCTACCTAGCAAGGGCGAGCCCGTATTGCAGCCGCTTTGCCGCACTGCGGGGTTTTACGGTTTACGGGCTTGGGGTGTAGGCAGGTGTGGGTGAATGTCTTGTATCTACAACAGCGCCCTTTTAGCCGGGAGGGAGGCAACGCCCATGCGTGCAGGCCACCTCTGACTTGGCATCCATGAGCTGCATGAAACCTTGGAGTAGGACTCTCAACATCTCTCAACTTCGTGGGTTCTGTAGGCCAACAACCTTCAACCCTTCCCGACATGGACAGGTCGTCTTTGCCTGGACAAGATTCGGAACACTTCGGATCCCGTTTGTGCATGGAAAGAGCAAGACACGCAACAAAGTTCTCGTTCTCATCGATCATACTCCTCATCAAGCCCGTGCAGGTACTACAGTACCGGCCACCAACCCCCAACACCAAGTCAGTCATGCCTAATAGTACTTCCAGTACCCCGCATCACCAGCACCACCAGGATCACCGTCACCATGTCCGATCTCGTTGACAGACGCATGATGGCGGCGGGGTGGAAGACTATGACAGTGATGGCGGTGATAGTCCTAAATGGTGATACTGAGGTGTACAGGGCACCTCGGCAACCCAGGCTAGCCCGTGAGAGCATCTTCGAATCTGACTGTGAAGCGCGAAGCAAAACGTAGAGTACACCGTGCAGATCCGCTTCAGCATGCCAAGCCGTAAAGCCCAAAGAACTGAGGGCCGAGCCCTGGGGGCATTTTTCGCAACCTGGGGCTGCGCTGAGACTTCCGACTTGCTTTAAGCCTTAGCGGCCTTGCTTGGATGACTGAGGAAGAATTGTGAGACCTGCTGAAAAGGCGTTGGGGTATGCGTTATCCTCTAGTCATGTGGGGACTGCATGAGGGCATATTCGTACTGCAGTAGCTAGAGGGCTATTGGTCTGTTGCCGGATGCACGCTTTGCACAATTGAGTGCCTGCAGAACCGACCCGGGCCTATCATAGACTGCCCGTCCGTGGTGAGGTTCACGACTCCGGTGCCCCGAGAGCAGAGTGGCGGCGGCACCTGCATCGAAAGGCTGCGAGGTAAAGATGGTTGTGCGCCCCCCCCCCCCCCCCCCCCCCCCCCCAATGGTATCCCCCCCAACTACAAGGGCCTGAAGCCTGGAGGCCTCGAGGACTCCCGCTACTGAAAAAAAAATTTCCTACTCCAAAGGCCTCCAAGCAGGGCTTCCTGTGAGCAGTAAGCAAAATGTTCTAGGCAACACTCAGCAGCAAGGTTACTCGTGTCCCAAAATTTTAAATGGAGGCTATGTAAAATTCCTTAGAAAAGGGATCCAGGCAATACTTTGTAGCATTATTCACGTACCGAGGGGCTCTAAGCAAGGTTCTAATGTAAAAGTCGTAGTAAAGGGGTTCTAGGCAATACTTCGTCAGATTATTCGTGTAGTTAAGGGGTTCTAAGCAATACTTCAGATTATTCGTGCAGTTAAAGGGTTCTAGGCAATACTTCGTTAGATTATTGGTGTTCCAAGGGGTAGTAGTAAACAAGCTACATTCAGAAAGACATGGTGCGCGTGTGTGTGTGTGTGGCAAAATGTAAAACCATCCCGTTCCAGAGGGGGGGTTCTACTTCCTCCCTGGCCCGCACGCACAGTTGGAAAACCGGAGACGATCGGAGACGAACTTCGCATTTCGCAGCAGCAGAATACCGCACACCAAAGAATGAAACGGAGGCTTAGCAGTAGAGCATGTGCGGAGAATGCCATACATACACAGACATGCTGTGTGTGTATGTATCTCAGAGCACAAGGGAGAACCATCCTGTTCCACAGGCGGGGGAGGGGACATAGGGCAAACCATCCTGTTCCACAGGGGGGGGGGGGGAAATAGAAAAGGCAAACCATGCCGTTCCACAGGGCGGGGGGGGGGGGGGCGGGGGGAATACACGTCGATTACTCATCGACAAAATACAAGAGTGCTTGACAGGATACATAGGGGGGGGAGCGGGGGGGGGAGGGGGGAAGGGGGGGGGTGAAACCATAAACCTCTAAAGGGGTAGCTCTAACAGGTACCTACAGCAATGGCTGCATGCTCATACATATACATTCCGCTGCCCATTGGCTCACAGTGGTTTTACCATATTGAGACAAGACAAGCTCTCCTTGCGTAGCAAGACAAAACAACTACTGTCCGTGTGCAGGGCGCTGCCCTTTGATCCTTAGGGAATAACTGGTCATACACCTCCTCACAAGGAGTATCCCTTGGGGGTGTATCGGCACAGTTTTCTGGTAGCGGAGCCCGGAAAGGGCCGCCCGCCTCACAAAGTCCGCTACAGCGGTCGGCCTCGCCGAACGCTTAACCAAGCGGATAAGAGGCAGCACAATGTCGAGCTCGCATAGCGAAGCCGACGGCAGTTCCCAATCCTCCGGGGGATATGAGAACGAAGAGACCTCCCAAGGTCCAGCCACTTATGTCGCACAGTCATATGCAACATCTGACCGCATGCTTGCATCATTAGGCATAACGCCCAAGATCGCGCCTGCCTATGATGGCACCACCTCGTGGTTTGAGTATGAACAGTTGATTGACGACTGGTGCGACATAACAACGCTGGATGACACCAAAAGAGGTCCGTCTCTCAAGACGAGGCTCTCCGGATTGGCCGCAGTACAAAAAGAATCACTCAACCGAGAAAGGCTTGCAGCCCCAGATGGAGTAGATTACTTCAAGAAGAAGATGCGTCCATTTTTCGTGAAAGGAGAACAGTACGTTTTCCTGTGGCGTTTCCTCGGCCTATTCAAGGCATGGAAGGGCAACCAAGACTTTGTGACTTGGATTGCTAAGTTTGAGATCGTGCTACAGCGCGTGAGAAACTCATGGATGGATCTCTTACCAGAGATAGCTCTGGAAGATGCCCATCCGGATTTCATGCAGGCTGTGCAGGCAGATCAAACCTTCTTGCGCCTACAGGATGCAACCGAGAGAGACACATACGCCGCACGTTTCTTCGAAACATGGAACAAGGAACGCCTTGATAATCATCGAAGAGCGTTTCCTCTAAATGATAATCTCCTAGCTCTCCTCTTCCTAGTGCAGTCCGACCTAAATGAGATGCAACGTGAGAGGTTGGTAACAGCATTGACCAACCAAGGTTACCGAATTGAGACCTACACGTACCCTGTGGTACGGCAGACCATGTTCGATCAGTTCTCAACGACCAGAACTGGTCTGCAGGATCCCAACATTCGGCACTCTTCTCACAAGAAGGACCGCCATGGAAGGAGAGATCAACGCCGCAAACGCGGAGGTCGAAACTTCCTCATCCTCGATCAGGGTGAATACGACGGAGTCGATGGATTCTGGCTCCAAGACGAAGACACCCTTGAGGAAGGCTTTCTTGCCGCCGAGGATGAAGAAGCTGTCTTCTGGACAGTTGACGACCATGAGGCCTTCGTTGCAAGGAGATTCAAAAAGGGAAGAAGACCAAGAATGCGTCCCGGATCACCGGGAAGAGCAAAGGGTGGCAAGCGAAAAGGACGTGGCCGTTTTAGGTCATACCGCGGAAAAGGGAGAGCCAACCAGGCAGAACATGATCCAACTGATTCCAGCTATTTCGGTAAAGGTAAAGGAAAGGAAAAAGGAAAAGGTGGAAAAGGCAAAGGAAAAGGAAAGGACAAAGGAGATAAAGGAAGCTCCTTCAAGGGTACAAAATCAAAAGGCAAAGGTAAGGATACAGCTAAGTCTGCCTCCTTACAAGGAGACCAAACTGGATCTCCACAGGCCTATGAAAGTTCCACCGCACCGAGCTGGGATTCATGGTATGAGGACAGTTATTATACTGACTCCAGTTGGAATTATGCCGCTTATGACGATCAAACGTCTTATACATACTATGCATCACAAGCCTCACGAAGAAAGACACGGAGAAAGAAGAGAAGAAATCAAGCAGGATCATCAGGTAGAGGCACAGATCCGAGCGCGCACCAAGAACCCGTGTACAACTCATCAGTGAGTTACGTGCCCCAGGTCTTTGAACCATCCGAGGGGCAAGGTGTGGAGACTGCAACAGCAGTGTTTCCGTTGCAGCACACCGTCCTATCTGCTCTCACAGAGCGGATCAATCTTGATAAGAGCCCTACCTTTGTCATACTTGACTCTGGTTGTACTAGGGCTATGGGTTCCCGCTATGCGGTGAACAGGCTTATCAAGGCCGTGAAGCAACATGCCCCAGGCATGATTGATTTCACTTTTTCACCTTCGAACACGAAGTTCTCTTTCGCAGATAGTGAAACAGCTCTTATCAAGGAGCGTGTAACTCTATGGTTTAACACAACTCCAAGAAGAGATACAACCATAGAAGTTTTGGATCAGGGAAGAGTCCCCATTTTGTTTTCCATCGAACAGATGAGGAATTTAAGAATGACCCTCGAGTGTAGTCCAACAGCTGACCTAGCAACGTGTGAAGCTTTCGGTTTGTATAAAACCCCTCTTCCGATTAGTACCAATAACCATTTGGTATTGGACCTTCTAGGCTTTACTTCCACCAGGAAGTACCTCCCTAAGTCAGGTACGTCGTTCAGTGCGACGGAGACTGCTCTAGGAGCCAATAAGCCTTATGTTAGGATACCGGAAGGTCGCTGTCCAGCCTGTGCCGGACAGAAAAAGGCTCACACGTACCTCAAGGGTTGTGACAAAGCACCTGAGGGAGCAGCTGATCCACCACCGAAGAGGATTTCAGGGAAAAAGAAGCCTCTTCCATCTGATCCGGCAGAATCATCTGCCAAGAAACTTGATCCACCAGAATCATCTGGAGATGTTCCTGAGCCTTCCGGACCATCGGAACCATCATCAGGTTCTAGGGACAAACCTGCAGAATCCTCTGCATCACATGAACCTCCAGAAGAAGAAAGACTTGAGGTTCCACCTGCGAAGATAAAGACTCCAAAGGGTCTTAAAAACCTTCTGAAGAAATCCCGCAAATATGCGGTTAAATCTCCTGTTGAAGAGAAGTCTAAGGTCCCAGGAGCTGATGACGGGACGGAGGTAAGACCACTTGAGTCAAGAGAATACCCGGCTCCTGGTACAGACTCACCTACAGGTGAAGAGATTGTCGCAGAACCATCGCCATCTCTTCCCATTGCTCTTCGCAGGATTCATGAGAAGCTTAAGGACCCTGTAGAACTCTATAAGCTTCACCTCAAGCACCGTCATATGAGTACGGATCAGTTCAAGCGACGCACAAAAGCCTTACAGATCCCAAAGGAGATCTACGAGCTATATGACCAACTGGTCAAAAAGTGTTCAGCCTGCCAGGAACATGTGAGAGCTCCTTCGAGAGCGAAGATTTCTGGTCTAAGATCAGAGACTTTCGGTGATCTCACCTTCGTAG